ACCTATGATACATTGATTGACTAACTAGAACGTTGTATTATCCTAAAGGTACATGTACCATTTGCCAACTCAGCAACCCATAATATTCATGGCTTATATATACATGTAGTACCTTTGTCTTAATGCGATAGTCAGTGGTCTTTATCGATATTGACATCAAAGTGTCAACCGCATTTAGTTTCTTCGTGACTGCCCCCATTTAGACATACACTCTTGGACTTGTTGCTTGGTCGAGTAGGTCGCCGCTGGACCATGTTTCCGTCGAGTAACAAAGCATTTAACGCTTTCTGTATGGTGTATAAGTATTATACAGCACGGCTCTAGACAATCAACAGAAACACCCATATTTAATGTAAATGATTTGTTGGTAGGCTACCCACAGCCAAGGTTAAGGGAAAGTATACAATACAATTTTGTTTTTTGTTATTAACAGTATTTCTGGGGATGGTGACATAATCAAGAAAACACAATTTTACTGATTTTTTTGTGTGGGTAAATTTCAGAAATATTCCGAGCTTAAAACTCAAGTAACTCAAACAATAAGCTAAGAACCCCAATTTGCAATCTTCTCTAAACAGCCTGATTTATCCCTACATTGTACCTATCACTTGTGCGAGACATTTGTATTATACGAGGTTTGTATAATAAACACCACGAGAAACAAGGGAACGCTATTGCCAAATCCTGTTACTACCAGATTAGGAACATCGGCTGTATTCGGCAGTTTTTAACAGCAGATGGATGCAAGATTTTGGTGCATTCACTTGTTACCTCTCGTTTGGATTATGGTAACGCCCTGACCTGTGGTATATCTGACAAACGAACTAGTCGTCTGCAGGGGGTTCCAGAACACTGCAGCACGTCTAGTTACTCGTACTCGAAAGAGAGAGCACATCACACCTGTGCTTTATTCGTTGCACTGGTTACTTGTACGATACAGGTCGCAGTACAAAATTCTGGTGTACACATACAAGGCACTGAATGAACTGGAGCTTGTTACCCTGTATCAGCCTTCACGATCACTGCGGTCGGAGTCAGAATTGGTTGTTTGTCCCAAAATCTCGTACTGTGACCTACGGAAACAGATGCTTTGGGAGGGTTTCGGCTACGTTGTGGAATGGCTTACCATCTGCTATTAGGAAGTCACATACCCTGGCCAAGTTCAAGAGGGACATCAAAACTCATCTCTTCACGTCTGCATTTTAAAATCTTTGCAAAGACGTTATGTAATTACCACCCTTGTATTTGTTCAATTATGTGCACATTGCTTGCTTAAATGTATAAAAGTGATTGTAAGCCTTTGTTTTTTGTTTTCACAATTATAACCATTACTATTATCCATATGTTGTAAAGCGCTTTAGAGTAATTTTACAAATTATATAGGGCGCTATATAAATGTTGTATATTATTACTATTATTATTATGGCACCTTATATATATTGATTTTATTTTACCGAATGTCTTATTGATAAAAACATATTTTTGTCTTTATGAATCGTAGTCGACATACAGTGTACTGGCTATTGCGTCGTATATTTGTATGTCGTGACAAAACCAAGTAAACATGACAAAGCAAGAAGTAATCAGCGTAATATCCTGCATTTTCAAACTCACATATCTTATTTACTGTTATTTGTAGATTTGTTAAACACAATTACATTTCAGACTGCATACCACAGTGACTTGATTATTGCTATGGAGATCAAGTAGATTGAGGATAGAGGAGGGGAGGTGATAATTACCAAATACTATGATGGAGTTCAATTCCCGCCATTGGTTTCTGGTAACGTTAAAGACCATTTAGAGGCAGTAAGGAACATGAAATACAAGAAAGGCGATGTGCTTCTTGATTCATTCCCTAAAGCTGGTATGTTGACATGTTATACGGCTTAATTCGAATAAAATATCAATTTACATTTATATTTACTAATGTATAGTGACTGGGGGTATCAAAAATAACGGAAATACGTACTTCATGTTCGCCTTGAAGATTCATCATCATGTCTCACGTACCTTGATTTGTTAGATTGCAACATTTGAGGTATTTGACTTTTGTTCTGTGACAAAGTTTACTTGAATGGTACAAAACAACGAACTATATACTTTGTTTCTGTTCTCGTTTGTATATTTAACATACAAAATGAATTGTGGTATACATGACATGTGTCTGGTTGCCTTCAGCTGAAAGGACAATTCGAAATTAAGCTATGAAGTTTATCATAAAAAGTTAAAGTGTACCCTGAACGTTTTGCTACATCAAGTTATGAATAATTCTTCATATTACACACTAAAAGGCTAGTGCAAACGCCGTAAGTGACTCCGTTTCCGAGATATTGTGATTTGTCTAAAAAACAAACCTTTGGCTCAGCGGCGATCGCCGTGTTAGGGGTAGCCCACATCTGTGACGTCACAATTTCAATGCTGTCAAAACAACCCTTCATGAATATACCAGGAAGCTTCGATCGTCCGTTCCATTTAAGAGCTTTAAAGCTTATTGTATGATATGTTCCGTCGTCAATACTTGTGTAGGTAATATTTAAGGTGTTACATACATTTAAAATACTTCTTTTTTTAAGTTTCATGATGAAATTAGTTCCCATTTAGGAGGCAAACGATGTGCCGTATGCGGGTGTCCGAACACGCATACGGATGCTATTTAAATGAATCCGTGTTTAAACATAATTTATTAATCTAGTGACTGTAAGTATTACACTTTTTATTATTCAATTGATCTCTCTAGAAATTATGATGAACCCCTACATACAATACAAAGCAATCGAATAAAAATTGAGTCAAATTAACGTAAGCGCACCCCTACCCTTTCTTTACAATATGGAGATACACGATTGGAATTGACAATGAAAAATGCACTGGTACAACAATTTATGCTCAAAATAAGCAGCAACCCGTGAGTTTTTACTCCCAGTTGTGAAACTTTGAAACCTTTTTAGGTCACCTGAGCTTTGCTCAAGTGACCTATTCTAATCGCTTTCCGTCTGTCGTCGTCCGTCGTGCGTCGTGCGTAAACTTTTTACATTTTCAACTCCTTCTCAAGAACCAGTGGATGGATTTTTTTCAAACTTGGTCAAAATCCCTGGTAGATGAGGCTAAAAAATTGTAAAATTGGAATTCCTACTCAGAGGTACTACAGTCATTTTCTCTGCATGGAAAGAAAGACCCTCAGGGGCTTCACTTAAATTGTAAATTGGAGGACCCCCGAGCTATTCGTTCTCCCTTGGGGAGGGGGGAAAGTTTACTATAGTTTATATAGGGAAATAACACTTTTGGGTATATTTTGACAACTTTCTGTAGGAAACTATTTTTAATTGGTGAGAATTATCCTTGGGGGAAAATAGTTTCAAATTGTAAAATTGAGATTCCTACCCCAACCCCTGGGGCCAGGGCGGGGCCCAAAAGGGAAAATTAACCAATATTCCAAAATCCTCTTCTCCAGACTCAGAGGTACTACAGTCATTTTCTCTGCATGGAAAGAAAGATCATCAGGGGCTTTACTTCAACAATAAATTTCAGGACCCCCGAGCTATTCGTTGTCCCTTGGGGAGGGGGTAAAGTTTACTATAGTTTATATAGGGAAATAACACTTTTGGGTATATTTTGACAACTTTCTGTAGTCACAGCCGATGGGGTCCCATTCACCGCCAGTTACGATAATGCTAATTAGCAGTAGTTGAAAATCGTACACTTTACACGTCAATATTTCGGTATTGGGCTAACCATTTTTTATGCGGTTTTCGACATTTATGGTTTTTGTTCATATATTTATTTCTATTTTCGTTCCGGTTACACTTTAACAATTACTTAGAAACGAAGTATAAATGCTTCGTTTTTGTACCAAGCAAATGTGTATAACTTAATCTTGCCTGCAAACCCTTTCACATTTTATGTTTGCAAACTATCTTGGCTTCCTGTATTACCAAGTAAATTTCTACCGATTCACTTTCCAATTGGGTGGAATGACGAAATACTAGCTATCGCATGACTTTAGGAATACCCATGAATGATTAGAATACGGACAACCCCAATTTTTGTTTGATTCCCAAACTTCACTAGAATCCTTATAGACAACATGTTATCGCTATCTTTGCTACTTGCGCAACCAATCCGTTATCCAAACTTCAAACTTCCTTCGATTTACTCAGGAAATTTAGAAAAAAACCTCTGATAGATCCTGAGCATCCTCTATTAAAAAATGTCGGACATCTGACTTATCCACCCTTCACACCTCGAACTCATCAGTCATGCTTGGGTGATCACCTGTTGTACACAGAAGACACAAATTACCTATGCTTTGGTCATTTGACCATCAGTGGTCACCCTTGAGTGATTATCTGCTTCCCATTATAGTGGTAGTATATATGACTGAAATTTAATTCATCGTGACTTGTTGGATATAATTATATTGTAATTACAACAATTATAATTGAAGCTTTGTTCTGAGTTGGCTAATTAGAAATGATGAATGCCAACACTTATAGACATGATGTTGATGTTGTCAACATATCTATGAACATTTTGCTGTTGAAATCATTTTTGTGTTGAATCATTTAACATAATATTTTATCAATTTTATAAATGAAGGGTTTATTGTCTCATCAAGCTTTTATTTCAGAATCATTCTGGTATAACCAGCAAATATAGCTGAAATATAGGTCTTCATAATCAAACAAGACAGGATTAATGACATAAAATTGATTATTTTTTCATCTGAGTATTTGAAAAAATATTACAAGCACAATATGAATAGGAATGTTTTAATAGCATAAATTGACTAGCATGTCTCCTATTTATTTTCAGGAACACACTGGGCCTATGAAATTATGTATATGTTGAAAAATGAAAAAGCAGAATATAGTAACGGCAATGTTTTGAGTCTCGACTTTGCCTCAACTGAAATTAATGATGCCATAGACAGCCCAAGAGTTATTGCGTCACATCTTTATCCGCAACATATTCCGAAATTTGTCGTAGACGAGAAATGAAAAATCGTCAATGTCTACCGGAATCCAAAGGATACGGCGGTATCTATGCATTCCTTCATGAAGCGACTAAACACCGAGGGAATAAACAGTTATCAAGGCACATGGGAACATTTCTTTGAATTATTCACCACAAAACCAGGTGGGCACAGGTACAAATAATGAACAGGTTTAAAACATAGCCAGTTGAGTGTAGCTTAACAGATTCACAACAATGCAAGGTAAGTGAGATACAACAGGTTCACCCCAAAGTCAGCAGAGTATAACAACAACAGGTTCACTACATAGCCAGTTGAGTATAGATACACATGTACAACAGGTTCATTACAAAGAAAGGCTAGTTTAGTTTAGAGGTCGCCACTAACTCAGGTGAGTATTCCGTCTTTGCGTATTGCAGAGTAATCTTCTCTTGGGAGGAGGGAATGATTGTTACGTCATTGGTTTGTGTGAGAAAAATACGTCGTTTTCTCCAAAATTGATGACGTTACTCTCCCAAACAATTGACGTAACAATCAATACCTGCTCCCAAGAGAAGATAACTCTGCAATACGCAAAGACGGAATAGGTACAACAAGTTCACCAAAAAGCCTGGAGTGAAAAGATACACCAGGTTTACTGTATAGCCAGGTTAGTGTAGCTTAACAGGTTCACCACGAAACAAGGAGAGTGAAGGACAATAAGTTCACCACAACAAACAGTTGAGAATAGGTACAACAGGTTCACCAAATAGATAGGTGAGTGTAGTTCAACCGTTGATCCGCCTTAACCAATCAATACGATGACATACATTTTAACCCCCCTTTCTGTACTGTAAGGAATTCAGATCGCATAGTACTGTGATTTCGTATTCTGTTATTATAAATACACCTTTTTTGTTTGAACTATTTTGTATACCACGAGTGCAAATCTAAAAGCGCTCGCTGTGCTCACTACTATATTTCACTAAATGACCATCTATGCCTAAAGTGTACCAATACAAATATGGACATACAGCAAAGATTCATAGCAAATCATTGTTAACGTTTCAAATTCAGATTGGAATTTATTCTAAAACCAGCACTTTATGAACCCAAAAATGTTTTGTTTTCTAAATTTTGACTTCACGCAAATCGTTCACATTTCTTACACTTTTCCGTTTGCATGCATGAATATTTATTTTCATTGCTGTCGATATAAATAATTTTGTTTGTGTGCACACTTATTTAAACGAAAAATCATAGAAAACATGATATAACAGATTGACAATGCTGTACATTAATAGTAAGGAACAAGAGAGTATAACTTTTTAAATTTTCAGTGCACTATAATACTTGGTTCGAACACGTAATGTCGTGGTTGGACTTCAAGAAGAAACATCCGGACGTACCCATTCTGATGGTATCATTCGAGGACATGAAAAAGGTAAGTCAAGTAAAGTTTATATTTCTTTTCGTATAGAATTAAAACCTCCAACTAGCAATTTGATGTGATATAATGTGAGTTTAGCGGTGTTTTGCATCTAACATCTTGAACAGTCGGTCCTATTTATAACTTTTTAGGTCACCTGAGCTTCAGCTCAAGTGACCTATTGTCTTCGTCCGTCGTCGTCCGTCGTCCGTTAATATTTTACATTTTCAACTTAAGCTGAAATACTGGCAAAGGGATTTCATTTATATTTCATGGGAAGGTTATTGACATCTCCTTGACAAAGTGTTGTTATTTTTCGGGTCGATTAGAAATCCAATATGGCCGACACGGCCGCCATTTTGAAAAACTATTTCAAACTTAAAGTCATGTTTTGCTGGGCCGATTGACCTGAAACTTTGTAGGAATGATCGACTCATGGTCCTGACAAAGTGTTGTTATTTTTCGGGTCGATCAAAAATCCAATATGGCCGACACGGCCGCCATTTTGAAAAACTATTTCAAACTTAAAGTAAAGTTCTACTGGACCGATTGAACTGAAACTTTGTAAGAATGATCGACTCATGGTCCTGACAAAGTGTTTTGAAAACAAATATTTCAAACTTAAAAACAAGTTCTAATAGGCCGATTTAACTGAAACTCGGTCTAGGAATGATCAGCTCATGGTCCTGACAAACTTAAGTTAACGTTATACTTAACTATTTTGTACTCAAATTGGTACATATTTCAAAAACAAAAATAAATTATGTAGGACTCAGGTGACCGTTTAGGCCCATGGTCCTCTTGTTTCAATATGTTTTCACAACTTTAAACTGGCATTTTTTAAGAACCGACATGGTGAATATCATGCTCTGAATTTTAAAACTAGTGCGAGTTTATTATGAATACAACAAAGTTAAAACGAAGAAATGGTTCATGAACAATTTTCTTTAACGTCTTACATCCGGCCCTTTTGTACATTCCACGTAAATATATATTAAAGTTTTCTTACAATATTATGAGTTTATAGGACCTAAGAAGCTGTGTTAAAAAGATCGCAGAACATCTCGGGACAAAACAAGACCCAGACTTTCTGGATGAAGTTACAAATAAATGTCAGTTTAGCGCCATGTTGAAAGCAAAGAGCACAAATACAGCAGAAATCGCCATTGGCAATGACGGAGGCAACCCATTTTACAGGAAAGGTAAATCATATTCTTATCAATTGCTTGATGCATTTAGAAAAATTCGTCCTGTACATTTCATCTTTTATAAAGGGGACTTTTATATAACCTCGGTATAACATGGATTTTTATTTCAAAAGAATTATTATAATTTATTCTCATATTTTAATGATACAATAAACATCCATGTCGTGCTCAGCCTGATTCCAAACAGTCCTTCTTTCGGGATTAAGCAACTGCTCGCCTCCTATTGATAATACAGATATTCGTCAATGATACAGATATTCGTCAATAATACAAATATAAGCTGGCTCAAGACTAAATAAAAGGGGTTGGATAAGGGTTGATTTAAGGACACAAGGCCCCTAGCACAAATTATTATCCAAAACCGTGTGGAACTCTGCAGAAGAAAAAACATCTGTATCGAAGTGATGAAGAGGAGACTCTCTTAGAGGAGCGCAAGCTAGGTCCCTTGACCATAGGGCATGATGACATTACTAGCTGATCATGTGCGCGCTCTATGCTGATTTGTCAAGCTTGACCATAGGGTATGATTACTCAATCGTCCGATCACGGGCTTTCCCCTTGTAATGAGAGTCTAGTCAGCACATAACACGTGATAATTATAAATAGATAACAGATGGTCAACAGCTGGGTGTTGTTCTGGAACAGGGCCATTACTATCGGTTAAACAAGAGCCAACATATATTATATGTATAACACAAGTTTGTAGTGATTTACTCCGAGTGAACCAATTATAAATAAAACTACCTCTTACACAAATGTATTTATTTCATGAACTAATTTGTTTGGCGTAAGCAATACCAATTTTGACATATACCTGGTTATTAACGAATGATGATTTAGCTGTTGTCACAACTTGCATGTTCATGAGGTTGACTTACATACCCGTTTTTTATGTTCAAGGTGAAGTAGGCGACTGGAAGAACTGTCTAACTGTTGCACAGGACGAAATATTTGACGACGAGATAGCAAAACGCATGACGGGCATTGATTTAGAAGTGAAATATTCACTGTGATTGACGTTTCAAGACGGATATAATAAAAATCCCCCAGAAATGAATACTGCCAAATCGTTTATAAGGTTTAACAATAAAATATATTTAAACTAAACCTACTGATTTGTTTTTTTTAAATCACAAATTGCTCTATTATAGAAAATAAATACATTTTTGAATGTCATTTAATCTCAGTTCTGTGTGTTGTTTGAATAGTGTACAATCAATCTGTAGTTGCCAAATATGAGTCTTAAGCTTACCCTTCCGGAACACCGAGTCTTATTCTCCTTGCTTAATTTGAGGGTCTGAATGTAAATATTCACTTCGTTGATAATAATAACACAAAACCTTTTAAAGACATTGAAAAACTTATTATTCGTATTTTGTTAAAGATAAATAAATTAAGAATATACAACACGTATGAAAAAAATAAACAATGAACTACGAGCATTGTTTATTTGTCGATAAATGTTCGGCATTATGTTTGCTGGTATACGTATCAACGAAATAATGACATGTTTCTTTGTTGGCCTGTAAAGGACTTTTGGTGCTGTTAATTTCAAATTTATTCGTATTTGACCTTTATATGTAGCTCCCGATTCGACCAACATTGAGTACAATGTTCTAGCTGCAATACTCCTATGTGTATATGCTCCTTGACACTGAATATATTGATGCTAGTGCGACCTACACACTTACACACCAGACAGGTCAGTTTTCACGGGGCTTCGAAACATGATACACATCATCTTCATAGTATACCTAGCTATGTAAACAGTGACATGAAATAGTTCAGCAATAACAAAAATCAATACATAAAAAAACTATTAAACACACATATCTATAAATTAAAAATACATACATATTTGTACCTACCCTGATGTAAAGACGAAAATATAAGACGTTTTAGCAGTTATGATCAACATCTAGAAAACGAAACACCCCTATGATGATACACACTAGAAGGATTGGTTTATTTCGAATTCTGAAAGTGGTCTCCACCTCAATTTTGCAATGGAAAAAAGATCATGAATTTGGATGTTTTTAATGTTTGAAATTGTTAGAATTACATATAAATTTCAATAACGTTTATGGTTTTTTTATCGATACAGATTTGTTCTCCTTACATTATCCCCGTTTCAAGCGAAAGCAAGCCGTTTTGATGTCTTATTATAATGCCGATAATAAGGTGACTCATATTTTAAAAATAAATGCGAGAAGTAGGTCTGAGCGTATAGCGTCAAAACCTACAGAGAAAACAACAAAGAATTAATTTGGTTAAGACAACACATTTATACCACTAGTGTTGCTTATATAACTATACCCTGTTTATGTTAGAACAAGTATGACACAAGTTATGTCAACTTATATTAACCACACTTGTTGTCCCGGATGTTAGCGCAAGGAGGGTCTTAATATGAGAAAATCGAAGTGTTCGAGAAGGTGACCTCATACCTTTTCACGGCCGCCTTGGTGAAAGGCTATCCACTGCGTCACCCGACAACCTAAGTGCTGTTAATTTGAAAATCATTTCTCTGTAACCTTTACATGTAGCTTTCGGTGCGACCTACATCCAGTAAACTGTTCTAACGGTACTGCACTTATGTGCTCATGCACTTATATGTTAAACCTGTTATTCTAATGTGTGCTATTGGAAGACTTGCTAGTACGGTTTTAAACTGAAGGACCTAAACACTAACACATCGAACCAGTCAGTTTACACTGGACGAAATAATAAAAAAATTCTCATTTGATATGGATAAATTAACAAAATAAGGATGTTGCTCAATTACGACATATGCAGTATGTTAAACCTCTTTAAAATGAAGTCAGAAAAAGCATATCTTACTCCTACTACACAAAGGATCAGAAACCAATTCTTACACAAATGCAAGCCTCCGCAACTTCAGACTCTCGTTCGCTTTGCAATACATTGCCGTGCTCTTTCTAACGAACATGAGACTAGTTAAAGCAGTGGAGTGCAAGCCGGTTTCGGGAATATTTTGTAGTTTCAAGAAGGAAAGAAGTTCTGGCTCTTATTCGGAACACCGTTAGGGTAAGCTATTTAGAACAAGCACGTTTTACATCTAGATATTCTGTACTAACCAGACCCTCTGACCGTCCCAAAAAGTCATATGGATATTCGATAGTATGTGTGAAATGCAGAAACATTCCACGGAAGCGCACGAGAAATTATCGGAACATTTCCCCAGTACATTTAAGTTAGCATTCAAACATATATAAAATCATGGTTTCCACATTACTATATGTAACACTGTTTCAGTGATTTTTGTAATCGTTATTTTTTAGATTGTTATGGTAGAGTGTGGTTGGCATTCGTAAAAATGTTGAACACGTGAAAGATAACGAACATGAATCCATTACACATAGATATAATCAGCAGGCTTACGTCACTTACAAATGTAGATATCATCAGCCACTTCACATAACTGTAACGGTGACAATCTAGTCCGAGGGACATCTGTACAACTAGCCTGGTGGTAAACTAATCCCATGCTCAGACTGTAACCTTTTATTTTATGTTGACATCATTTACATGGATATGAAAATATAGTTGATACAGAAAAAAATAGGCGATACTTTTTCTTTCTTTGTTTGTACATGCAACTGTTTTTAATTTCTTTTATTCCTTCGTACAGCAAATGTCAGTGGCAGTTTTATGTTTTGAGCGATATATATTTAAAAAATAAATGGAGGTCTGTTTAAAGGTTATTGCTCTATGTGACACCTCGATATGCATCTATGTACGCTGTCAGTGTGTGTTGACTAATTGTTACAGTATAGAATCCAATTTCCTTACAAAAATCTTTAGTATATTATAAGCACCATATCAAAAATCACTTTCGAGAAATTCTTTTAACTTACATGTCAGTAAATAACCAAAAACTGGAACTTATATGTATGTGTAAGATATCACATTTAAGAAACATCTTTTCCTTAATATACGGGTAGTCAGTGCTATGGTGTATTTAAAAATGTCCAAACGGAGAGAAAGTAGTATAATTAGTCGTGATAGCGGTTGAAATCAATACTTGGTACATGTAAACGTACCATCAAATAATGGCAGATACTAACAGAATGAAAACCTTCGAAAGGCTTTACTAATTTGTATCTGCCTTTCTTACTACAAACGTTACATTTTTGCTGGTGAATAAAACACTTATCATACAAGAAAATTTTGATTATTATTGATTACAGACGAAATATCTACGTAGGGTTTCTTATGTTTTCTCATCGAGGGCAACCCCCGCCCCCTCCCCCGCACCCCATCCCCCGTACCGACATAAAACTAACAATAAAAACCAAGAGCTTAATAGGTAAATTCTTAACGACTTGTACACTTACAATTTTAAACCTAGTTTGACTGTATTCTACATGGTTTATTTTTCTACTTTGATTTGCTATACAATGTATAAATAATTTAAAACGCAGACAACTCCAAACTTTAAACCTTAACTAGAACACTGACATGTCAGTAAGTGCCCCGTCTTGTGGCAATATACTCCCCATAATCATCAAGAAGCAATCTACCCATATAGCTGAGCTTGACGTTTGACATTTGGCCTTCAAAAAGAATCTCTAGGAAGCAAAATATACATTTTACATGTACTATGATGTGAGTCTTGTTTCTTTTCACCTCCATATTTGCTTGGCTAACAAAAATGTAAATACCGGTGCAATACTCATTTGTTAGCTTTGATTTTTCTTATTTCACCTTAAATACCTCCTCCATAAAGAGACAGGGTTAAAGTTTGAGATCCATTTTGTCTTTGACCTTGGACCCAAATTACCTTGACCTTTAACCCAGTGATCCTGATCTGAGGTCAGTTGACTTGTTCTTTAATTACTACCAACTTTGCTTCATAATATCATAACAAAATGTTCTAAGTGAAAAATACAAAATTTGACCTTGATCTAGAACCTTTGGAACCTATAACCGTCCCTTAGGTCAGAAGGCTCCGTGTCACGTTCCGAACAACTTTGCTCCATAATAGCATAAAAAAATGTTCACCAGTGAAAAAATACTTAATTTGACCTTGACCTTTGACCAAGTGACCATGACCATAAGTCAGTTGACTCTTTATTAAATTCAGACCAACTTAGCATCATGATGTCATAACAAATTGTTCATCAGTAACAAGATACACAATTTGAATTAGATTTTGACCCAGTGACCTTGACCTTTGATCAATTGACTCCTTGTTTAATTCTGATCAACGTTGCTTCATAATGTCTTAAAATGCTCATTAGTGAAATGCTACAAAATTTGACCTTTGACTTAATGACCTAGACCTCTGAACAGATGACCTTGACCTTTAGTCAGTTGACTCCTTGTTTAATTCTGATCAACTTTGCTTCATCATGTCATAACAAAATGTTCATCAGTGAAATGATGCAAAATTTGACATTAACATTTGAACGTAATGACCTTGAACTTTTACCTCGACTCTTTACCTGTCTCTTTGTCTAATTCCGACCTTTATATTGCTTTATAATGTCATAACATAGTAATTAGTGAAAAGCTTCAAAATTTGACCTTAACCTTAGGTCAGTTGACTCCTTGTTTAATTCTGATTAACTTTGCTTCATCATGTTATAACAAAATGTTTATCGGTGAGAAGATGCAACATGGACCTTTGAACCTAATGACCTTGACCTTGACCTTGCTTTTTTTACCTCAGTGTGTATTTTTTGTGAACTGAACATCTTCACCTAGTTTCATGTAAATCCGTCAATAAATACTAGGTATCAGCTAGTGGACGGACGGACAGACGGAAGGACGGACAGACAGACGGACAGAGTGATTACTATAGGGCACCCGTATCTCCGATAAAAAAGGCCTTCACACGGCGGTCATGAACCTGGAAATATTAGTATATCTAGTAAATTGATTACATGTAAATGAACATGTGTGGGATAAAGCGGCGGGTCGAAATGTGTGACGGTTACCCTGTGTGTCACAATCTAGAACATTAACATGCGGTCAACACATCATATAAAATGATATTACGAGGGACGCATACCACTGTTAGCTAAAGCCTCCATAAGGGTGGTAAGTCCGTCCTTTTCAATATTTATATTTCTTTATTTGTATCTGTACGGTTAGGTAATTTATTCACTCGTAGACATGTTTGATGGTTGACAAAAGCTATTTAATTTGCAGAAACATAAAGGGTAAACATTGTATGCTGTGCTATTGACATCCGGTAGTTTTCGATGTTTAGGACATTGAACTTTTAATATACCCAGACGTAAGCGTGAGATATAATACATTTTCGGTGTAACGTCTGTGCAGACGAGCATGTTTACAATACACGTGCTAGTATACTGATGTTTTGAGCGGGGCTCGTTGAGTGCTTCCATTGATGATTATTGTGAAGCCAACACTGAAATAATTTTCTTCATTCTTGTTAGGGATTTTTCATTATTTTATGTTTAGATGATTTATTTCACACAAAAATCATTTTTGAGATAACGTCAGGTTAGGGCCCCTTGCATCAGTCCTCGTACATTTTTCAACACACAGGATTCATTCATTACAGTCGCCATACAATTACTGTTAAGGTTTAATTGACACTTCAGTACTCTATTATAGTTTTTGTATCGTTCATGCATTAACATAGCAATCGTTCTGTCTTTTGCTTTATTACTGGCAAATCGTAAGTTCCTTATATTGTTTCATCATGTGAAGTGGTTCAATAGTGTTGTTGTTTCAGGTTTAACTGTTTAATTATTGTTTTGTCTTTGGTTTTACTTAAAGTTAAACGGATAAGAACGTTCGGAATAATCGTATTACTTTAATAGTAAGAGATAATGTTTTGCACTCCAGCATGCAATCTCCTAGCCTCTCTTATTCATTAAAGATGAACATCATAATTGCTTTGAATATGTTATCTTACTTTTATTGTTCCAATCTGTTAATTCATCTTTCTGTTTTTTGTCATAAAAAAATAAATCAATAACAAAACATAATCATCTACGATAGCAAAGGTAAGAATATTATGAAGTATGCCTTCACTATCATTAAAACATGTCCGATGTGTAGATACATACATCTGTATGAATCCTACGTTACTATACCCCATACCGTATATAACGCGAAAGTCATTTCATAGATTTTTAGGCAATCCCGAATGTAGTTATGTAATGTGATGTCATCCTAGTCATGGATATCGACATTACAAAAGTCACATAATAGTAACATTCATTTTCTAAATTACATTATTCCTGCAATCCTTAGACTTGTTCGTGGTCTTTGTGAAAATTCGTGCCATGAAAATGAATAATATTAATAATAATATTGATGAAATTGCCTATATGATTACATTTTGTATACGTAACCGTCAACATATTTCCTATTTACCGTTTATCCATTGAAGGACTATGTCAATAATCGAAATGATATATAAACAATCTATTAAACCGTACTTTCAAGTTCTAATACTTTCATTGGGGGAAACTCGACCAGCCATCTGTCAGGAACACTGCGTTACGTGTCGTATTTTCTGTTTACAAAACATGCAGAGACAACATATTTACCTTTACTAGCACAAATAGTGATACCGCTATACAATGCTAATTGGTCATTTGTTGTAGCCTCAAAACATTTCAATAAAGTATACAATATAGTATTAAATATGAAAATTAAATTGATCTTTTTCTTTAATAGTATTTGACATAATAGTGACCTTGCTGTTGCCATGGAGATCCGGAAAATTGAGGACAGAGGAGGGGAAGCGATACTTACCAAATACTATGACGGAATTCATTTCACACCAAAAACTCCTGGGAATGTGAAAGACCATTTAGAGGCAATACAGAACTTAAATTACAAGAAGGGCGATGTACTTATCGATACTTTCCCTAAAACTGGTATGTTGACAGTTAAGTCTAAAATCACACGGATCGTATTCATGGTACTAAATTGATAGTTGGCATTGTATAACCTATTACATTTTGTAGTATCAACAAGGAAACGTAACACGTCTTGCAGAAATGATGTATTGTTTACTTAAAATGGTAAATGTACACCCTTCGGATAGGTATTACAATGTATTAGTAAAGTGCATTAATATGTTATTTGAGTCACGTTTTATGCAACAAAAGACACTTTTTGTATGGTAACTAAAATGTCCAAATAAATGTATTAGGAAGTAAAAGTATGTGACCAATGAATTATAATGTATGATAAAAAAAGGAAACGGCAATAGTGAATAAAATGTTATATTTTTAGGAACACACTGGACTTTCGACATTGTGAAAATGTTGAAAAACGAACAAGCCAAATACAGTTCCGGAACAATGATGCCTTTAGACTTCACACCAAGCACTAAAATCGATGCCTTAGACAGCCCTAGAGTTCTGGTGTCTCATTTCTATCCTCAACATATTCCGAAATTTGTTCTAGACGAGAAATGTAAAATCGTCTATGTCTACCGGAACCCAAAGGATACAGCCGTATCTATGCACTCTTTCCTGAAACGACTAAACACCGAAGGAATAAAAGGTTATAAAGGCACATGGGAACATTTCTTTGAATTATTCACCACAAAGTCAGGTGAGTACAGCTTGTTAGAGCATATTCTTTCAAATTTTTATGCATAATGCATTGATCGTGTGTGCAAAACAATCAAATATATAAGTAAACGGACCAATCAAACATTGTAAAAGCATCGATGAATGAATAAGAGTAGAAAACGTCAATCTCTATGTATATTTGATGAGTTAACTTTGTTTTTGTTAAAGTGCCATATAACTCGTGGTTCGAACATGTGAAATCATGGCTGGACTTTAAAAAGAAAAATCCGGACCTGCCTATTCTGATGATATCATTCGAAGACATGAAAAAGGTATTTCATTATTTTACTCGTAAAGTGTGAAGAAGCAGTGCGTGGAATCAATTTGTTTGACTGTTTCCCTCTTGAAAATAAACTATACATGTTTTGACAAGTTACGAATATGCTAGCGGGTGGAGATTTTCATTTGATGAGTATTTTGTCTGATTATTGTTTTGTTTAAAACCTGTAATTATCCAATATTCTGAACTGCCAGGTTTCAGAATTTTAGAACATCACGACATCAAAATTTTGAACGGGCGTCAAAGTTAACTATCAACGTACATGTTTTAGCGCACACACATTCTAGCGTTTTATTAAATTTAAATACATTAGCGCAATGATGAATAATCCCACCTCAACAATATGGAATAAGTCTAACGCGAAAAGCTTTAAACAAGACTACTGCTAACAAATTAGGTTAAAACATATCACAACAATTTTAAATTCTGTATACTATTCTTTCTATGATCATTCGATTGGGCATTCTTTGGTCTACTTATTTATAATTATTGGCTACATATTGAAACAAAGCCCACAAAACTAACGGTAATGACGTCTGTATACTTCAGGACCTTAGAAGCTGTGTTCAAAAGATTGCAGAACATCTTGGTACCAAACAAGACCCAGACTTTCTTGACGAAGTGACAAATAAATGTCAGTTTAGCGCCATGTCGAAAGCAAAGAGCACAAACGAAATCGAGACGGCGATGAGCACAGACGGCAGCAATCCATTTTATCGGAAAGGTAATTTGTTTAAAGTCAAGTGAATACCGAAGTGTAATTAAATTTGTAAATCGCGCTCAGGATCGATGAAGCAATGACAGAATATGAATAACAAACATTAAAAGGGGATGTCATCTATGAAAGCAGGAAATGTCAGCAAGTAAATATGTATCCTTTTAGAACTTTTGATCGTACCGCCATGTACATGTTCAAGGTTTTACATTAAATTTGTCATTTCAAATAATGGTTTAGTTCATATCTTGGGTTTTCCCCTTGCAATTTGTACCCATTTCAATCCGAACACTGGTAGCGTTTCAGTAATATATTAGATTATAAATCATTTTGATGCAGTATAAAAACAAAATATAAATAGGTGACGTCATTTCAACCTATTATTCCAGGTGATGTAGGCGATTGGAAGAACTGGTTAACTGTTGCTCAGAATGAAATGTATGATGCCTTGTTAAAAGAAAGTATGGCTGACATCGATCTAGAAGTGAAATATACCTTGAAATAGACATTTACCACAACTGGTTATAACTGCATCGCAATTTCTATCGTTTTAATGCTTTCAATCTGTGAATGTACATTGACAACGATGTTGGTGTGGAAACCCATGCTCATTGGTTTGGGATAAGTAAAGAAAATAATTAAAAACAGAATAAATCATATGGTAATTTGTATTCTTCTGTGTTTTTATGTTTACCTTTGATGACATTTGTTTCAAGACAAAATGGAACTGCGGTAGTGGTTAAGGTTACACCCATATATGCAGCTATAGTTTAAGGTGATTTAAAGGTGATATATACTACAGTATCCTAGTACATTGCTATTTATGCTTAAATTTGTTACATCTTAATATAAACAATACAATCGAAAGTAACTATGTCAGTCGTTCTTTTTGTTTATATTTTCTTGCTAAAATAGTTATAATGCTGTGTAAACGGAAATTAACTCGAAACCTACACATAACTTTTTAGACTTTTATTGTCATCCATCTATAATCGTAACATTTAACATAATATACCATTTAATCTGGCTTCAAGATTACTCAATATTATGAGAAATGAAGATAATTTCGAAAGACGAACTGAGAAGCTTAAAATAGATAGAAATTACCAAAAGGTAGTGTTCCAAAATCGAATTTAAAAAAACCCCGAAAGGGAACAATTTACTTACTGCATATACAATGTGGAGACTAACCTAAATACTATACTGTTCGGATACAATATAACCTAAATAAATGCAATATATGTCCTTAAATTAGAAGGTTTAATAGTTAAACGCAAATAGATGACCGCATGTCAGAAAATGTATTTTCAAAAGTTATAAATAGTGAAGACAAACTAAAGCTGAAGTAAATAATCATTCAAACAAGATCGACTGAAAATGAATAACTACACGATTAAATGACGTCTGACCACATTTTGGGTACTTTTGTTTACGTCCGAAATTGGTAATGAAAACCCAGGGTTGTTGACCTACAAATGTAAACGGTGTATGTATCACTAGGCGCACGCTAATGATTTTCATTATCGGGTGATAATGACAATAACCTCAACACAAGTTATTGAGTCAATTACACCTGAAACTGAAAATATTAGTGTGTATTCTCATATTTTGATTTTAAAATGAGCATCCTTTTTGTGCTCAGCCTTATTCTAAACAGTCCTTCTTTCGGGATTAACCAACTGCTCGCCATATACCTGACAATGCTTTTATTTAATTATCATATAACCTTATAAATATTATACAATGCAAACATAAGCTGGCTCAAGACTAAATAAAAAGGGGTTGGATAAGGGTTGATTTAAGGACACAAGGCCCAAAGCACAAATTATTAATCCAAAACCGTGTGGAACTTTGCAGTAGACAAACACAAATTGTATCCAAGTGATGCAGAGGGGACACGGACAGACTCTCTTAGAGGAGCGCGAATTGATGGCTGGTCAAGGTAGGTCTCTTAACCATAGGGCATGATGACATTACTAGCTGATCATGTGCGCGCTATGCTGATTGATCAAGCTTGACCATAGGATGTGATTTTTAATCGTTCGTTCACGGGCATTCCCCTTGTAGTGAGACTCGGGTCATCAAATAACACGTGAACAATATAAATAGATACCAGATGGTCAAGAGCTGGGCGTTGTCCTTGAATTGGGACATTACTATCGGTTACACAAGAGCCAACTTATATAATATGCATAACACAACTTTGTAGTGATTTACTCCGAGTGAACCAATTATAAATAAAATTACCTTCTTACACAAATGTCTTTATTTCATGAAAGAATTTGTTTGCTGTAAGCAATACCAAATTTGACATATATCTGATTTGTGAACGAATGATGAATTAGCTGTTGTCACAACTTGCATGTTCATGAGGTTGACTTAAATTCCCGATTAACTGTTGCACAGGACGAACTATTTGACGACGTGATAGCAAAACATATGACGGGCATTGCTTTAGAAGTGAAATATTCACTGTGATTGGCGTTTCATGACAGAAATGAATACTACCAAATCGTTTATTAGGATTAACAATACAATAAAATACAATATAGTTAAACTGATATTTTTGTTTTTTAAACTCACAAAGGGCTATATTAATAGCAACATTTATACCTTTTTGAACGTCATTTAATCTCAGTTCTGTGTGTTGTTTGAATATTGTCGAATCAATCTGTAGCTGCCACATATTATTCTAAAGCTTACCCTTCCGGAACACCAAGTCTTATTCTCCTTGCCTATTTTGATGATCTGAATGTAAATCTTCACTTCGTTTACATTTTATCATTGTTTTACCGATTTTGAGTTCAAATTGCGGTTTTGCTGATACTTCGCTATTCTTTCGATGTGATAATAATAACACCAAACATTTTAAAGACATTGAAAATTCGTATTCGTCTTTTGTTAAAGATAAATATATCAAGAAAATATAACACTTATAAAAAACATAAACAAACTCAATGAATAAAGAGCATTGTGTATTTGTCGATAAAGGTTCGCCATTATTTTTGCTGGTATACGTATCAATGAAAGAATGACATGTTTCTTTGTTGGCCTGTATCGTACCTTTAGAGCTGTTTTTTCAAATTTATTCGTATTTGACCTTTAAATGTAGCTTCCGATGCGACCAACATTGAGTACAATGTTCTAGCTGCAATACTCCTATGTGCATATGCCCGTGAACACTGAATGTATTGATGCTAGTGCGACCTACACACTTACACACCAGACCTGTCAGTTTCCACGTGGCGTCGAAACATGATACACATCATCTACATAGTATACCTAGCTATGTAAACAGTGACATGAAATAGTTCAGCAATACAAAAAATCAATGCATAAAAAAACTATTAAACACACATACCTATAAATTAAAAATACATACATATTTGTACCTACCCTGATGTAAAGACGAAAATATAAGACGTTTTAGCAGTTATGATCAACATCTAGAAAACGAAACACCCCTATGATGATACACACTAGAAGGATTGGTTTATTTCGAATTCTGAAAGTGGTCTCCACCTCAATTTTGCAATGGAAAAAAGATCATGAATTTGGATGTTTTTAATGTTTGAAATTGTTAGAATTACATATAAATTTCAATAACGTTTATGGTTTTTTTATCGATACAGATTTGTTCTCCTTACATTATCCCCGTTTCAAGCGAAAGCAAGCCGTTTTGATGTCTTATTATAATGCCGATAATAACGATTACTCGTATTTTAAAAATAAATGCGAGAAGTAGGTCTGAGCGTATAGCGTCAAAACCTACAGAGAAAACAAAAAGGGGTCATTTGGTTAAGACAAGACATATATACCACTAGTGTTGCTCATATAACTATACACTTTGTTTATGTAACAACAATTATGACACAAGTTATATCAACTTATATTAATAACTCTTGTTGTCCCGGATGTTAGCGTGTGGAGGGTCTTATTATGGGAGGTACCGAAGTACCCAGAGCAAACCGAAGTGTTCGAGAAGGTGACCTCATACCCTTTCACCTCCGATCGGGGGATCGAAACCCGGCCGCCTTGATGAAAGGTTTTCCACTGCATCATCTGACAACCTAAATGCTGTTAATTTGAAAATCATTTGTAACCTTTATCTGTAGCTTTTGGTGCGACCTACATCCAGTTAACTGTCCTAACGGTACTGCACTTATGTGCACATACACTGATATGTTAAACCTGTTTTGCTTCTGTGTGCTATTGGAAGACTTCCTGGTACGGTTTTATACTGAAGGATCTAAACACTAACACATCGAGCCTGTCAGTTTTCACTGGACGAAAGAATATACACGTTTCTCATTTCATATTCATGAATTAACAAAATAAGGATGTTGCTCAATTACGACATATGACGTATGTAAACCTCTTAGGAATGAAGACGACGATATGTCCTGTTCTTTAATCAGAAAAACATATATTATTCCATACAGGATTAGAAACCAATTCTTACACAAATGCACGCCGCCGAAACATCAGACTCTCGTTCGCTTTGCAATACATTGTCGTGCCCTTTCTAACGAACACGAGACTCGTTGAAGCAGAGGAGTGCAACCCTGTTTCGGGAATATTTTGTTGTTTCCACAAGGAAAGAATATCTGGCCCTTTATAATATTCTTAACACCATAAGGGTAAGCTATTTATGACAAGCACGTTTTACATCTATATAATTTGTACTAACCATTCCCTCTGTTCATCCCACAAAGTCATATGGATATTCAATGGTATATGTGAAATGCAGAAATATTCCACGGAAGCGCACGAAAAAGTATGGGAACATATCCCCAGTACATGTAAGTTACAGACCCGTACACGTTCGCTGTTCCACCTTGGACGCAAACGGTACGGAAGTGCTACGCAAACGGTACGGAAATGCTACGCAAATGGTACGGAAATGATACACAAGTGCTACGCAAACGGTACGGAAATGCTACGCAAACGGTACGCTGAAAGTGGAACAGCAAACGTGTACGGGTCTGTAGCATTCAAACAAATATAAACTCATGGTGTCCACATAACTATATGTAACACTGTTTCAGTGATTTCTGTAATCGTTATTTTTGTAGATTGTGATGGTAGAGTTTGGTTGACATTCGTAAAAATGTTGAACACGTGAACGATAACGAACATGAATCCATTACACATAGATATAATCAGCAGGTTTACATCACTTAGATATAATCAGCCACTTCACATTTCTGTAACGGTGACAATCTAGTCCGAGGCAAATCTGTATAACCAGCCCGGTGATAAAATAATCTAATGCTCAGACTTTTTTTTTTTTTTTTTTTTTTTAACGTTAACATCATTTATATTTATATACAAATATGGTTGATACAGAAAAAAGAGTAAGCGATACTTTGGCCTTCCTGGTTTTGTGTTTTGCTACAGAGATATTTATATTAAATGGAGGTCTGTTTAAAGGTTATTGCTCTATGTGACACCTCTATATGCATCTATGTACGCTGTCAGTGTGTGTTGATTAATTGTTACAGTAAAGAAGCGATTTTCATTGAAAACTCTATTGTATATTATAAGCACCATGTCAAAGACCACTTTCGAGAAACTGCCACTTGTCTAGGTAACATTCTTTTGAATTACATGTCAGTAAATGACCAAACACTGG